TTCCCATTTTACCATCATTAAGCATAGCTTTAACTGCGTCTAATGCCGTTCGGTTAAAACGTTCACACACACTGTTCTCTTCTGGGTGTACGCGTTTGTGCGTTCAACACTAATTCCATTTTCGGCTAAGTACCCTTCGAATTGCCTGTTACAGAATTCCCCACCATTATCGGTGCGTATACTTATTAATTTTCCTATTCGTCAGTCTTTCCATTTGCCTATGATAATTCTTAAAGTTGTAGAATGATTCAATTTTTATTTTTCATACAATACACTGTTACTAATCTACTATAGTCATCCACAATAGCAAGGAAAATATTTACTCCCCCACCCTTAGATGGAACTGGGAGTGGGCCACAAACGTCTAAATAAACCAACTGCAATGGTTTATCCGATCTCTTCGGAACAGTTTTTAAAAGTTATTCTACTAGATTTAGCAATAATACACGGTTCACACCTCTCCATTGGTTTTTCAATTTCTGGTAACCCTTTCACGCTTTGATTCTTACTAGTTTTCTTAATATAATCAAAATTTACGTGGCTAAATCTCCGATGCCATAGCATTGCATCGTCTACTTTATTTAACTTTCCAATTTCTGTACCGTAACCAGCTTCCTTTTATCTGTTGCATATCTAAATGGGTTTTACGTGATAAAGTCCGTCATATCGTTTAGCGTAGCATAATCTATCCCAATTATTAAAGTATATCCACATCTTCCCTTTTGAAATCACAAAATGAGCACCTGCCTTTTCTAACCTTGCTCCCGATAATAAAATTTCTTCTTAGATTTGGATTATATAACACATTATCTAACTCAATCCAATTTATTCGATTGCCTACTTTTACTGCAAATTTGACGGTACCCTTTCCTAGTACTTTACTTTCACAATTTCCTACAGCTAAAGACATACGTATATCGTTTATTTCTTCGAAAATTTGTCATTAAATTTCTATTATTACAGAAATGAGTTGTAGCTGCAGTATCTACGACCCAATTAAATTTATCTGCGTTACCTCCTTTATCTGTAGTTGTTACATAATTTTCTACTAACATTAATTCTTTATCTTTAAACTGTCCATTTTTATCGTTTATTTTAAATTTCTGATTTTTACTTACATTTTCTTTACATTGAGCAATTAAGTGTCCAAATTTATGACATCTGAAACAAGGTCCTATTCTCATATTCCCCATTTTTTTCTTAGATTTAGTTTTATTTTCAACTTCTATCTTTCCCTGCATTTGAACTAATAGTATTAAACACGCTTACCTTGCTGTCTTCTAAATCGGCATTTACCTGGCGAAGTCGGCTTTCTTCCCTTACCAGTTCTTCAGCAATTCTTTCCAGCGTAAAATCTTCGTCCTTCCACCTATAGATCAACTGTACAATGCCGGAGTATTCCTGGGGTAATCTCCTTATTGCCTGAAATCCTTTAAAAAGATCTGCCAAGTTGTGTCCAGCTTCAGCCAACTTCTTTGCAGTCATTCTTATCCTCGCGATGAATAATCCTATTTCTTCATTTGGGGTATATCTAATGCTAAAAAATTCATCCAGTAACTGAATTATCCTTGCTTTTGTAGAACTTCCCATGCTTCTTTACCACTTGAACATTCTTGTATCAGCGGCCTGAACTCAATTTTAATTCCATAATATAAGGTAGTGAAGGCTCTGTTCTCTCTCAGTGTGAACTCCTGCTTTTCACGCCTTGTTGCACTTTTATCTAATTCTTCTTTTTTGTCCTCTATGAAGCTCCAACAATTTCTATCCAGTAACAGCATTTTCATATCGACTTTCCAGTGATCCCAGTTGTCATGGTTTAACAGCTGAAAACCTTCAGGTAGTAATGACATCTTCAACTAAGTGTGAGCACAATAACTTAAACAAACTTCTAAGACAGGCAGCCTCTTTTCGTGGATAACGGCCCTCTTCACCTACATTCCTTCAATGCTGAGTTGAACTGGGTAACAGGCTAGCTGTTGGGGCTGGGCCCATAACCTTATTGACAGTGGGGATCTAGGCAAAGCATATTTTGCTTCCCTTAAATAAAGCTAAGACTAATCTAAATAAAATTCATGCTTTAGTCCGTAAATTAAAATAAAATAAGCTAACACAGTAGCCTTTACATTTAAAATCATTTGAGTGAAAGAAAACTAGCATTATGCTAACTCGTAATACACATTCGCCAATACCGGCTTACATATAATAGTCGCCCAGCCCGTCGATCTTGACATCAGCGGCAACCACGTTAGCTTACCGTCGATTGACCTCCGACCAAAATTTGTGTAAGGAAAACTAAAGCCAACATGGACACCACTAGGGTTGTTGCTCTATCTCTGTTTGCATGATTGTCTCTGCTGCACATCAAGGAAAACCACAACAATAGCCATGGTGCTGCAGACATTGTATTGTCCACGTGGACACTTGTTGTCCTGCTCATGAGCTTAGTTCCTAATTCAGGGTAGATTATGTAACTCTACAATCCTGCAAGGCAGAGAGGACAACACATCTGTTCTCTGTAGTGTTAGTGGTCCAAGGCCATTGAAATCCTGCATGGCATTCAGTAAAATCCCTGGACCTATTCTGTATTTACTTGACAGTCATGGAATCAAGAGCAGCATTGCATGAAATGATTAACCACATTCCTGATGATAGCATTCCTGCCACTGTTGAATTCAGACATGTGGTGGATGTGCTGGTAGGAGATTTTCCTTTTTGCATGAGGCATAACATGATCTTTACAAAAAAGAAAGGAAAAAAAAAAAAAAAAAACCCAGCATTCAACTGCGATTTTCAAGTGAAAAACCCACTGAGTAATTTTCCCATTTATACATCTGCTTTCATGCGTACGCACTAACCATTTGCATATCCCAGCAACTTTCATGCAAATTTGATGTTGGTTGCATGGTGTTGCAATTTTAATGGCTAGCAGTGTATTCTTTCAGCAGTATGCTAAGATGATAGTCTGTTTATATTTTTCTGACGAATTTCAGGTGTTGGATGATATAACTTTAGGAAAACAGTAGTTCAGATCCTGTAAACTGTCCATTTGAATTTTGTAGACTTGCGTCTTTTGCATACTTTCTTCAAGAAAAAAATCAAATTGGCTGGGATCTAATGACTGTAGTGTTCAGGAAAAAAAAAAAAAAAAAAAAATCCAGCATGTTTGGTACATCATTCAAGAAAACCGCTATCAGTAACATGTAGCTGTATATGCAGCATAGATCTTCGAAAAAATTCTAAAGGAAACGTCTAACCCTTTTCAGCACAATCTGGGCACGCCCAAAAAATTTCCTCTGTGCACAAAGAAAAATTGAAAGCAAAAGGCTTTATGGATTATTATAGCCTTCTTTATTAATATTAGATGGCAGCACAACACCAAACAAGTCCATACATTGCAGCCATGTTTAGTTTTTAAAGACCCTCATTTAAAAAAAAAAAAAAACTTCTAGTTTTTTAGGATATGAAAAAAAATTGTTTTAAAAGAAATTTCTATCTTATTTTCTTGGCTGTATGCTGATCTCTTTATTCTATGTTAGTTTTCAATTTTTACCTTGAAATCTTGCCTAAAATCAAACAACGAACATTTGGTAAGCCCAGACTGTGATCATTGAAACCCCAAGACCAAACCAACAACTGTAGCTTTTCTTCACTGCAGTATGTTTTCTTCAGCGAACCCATTCACAACAGAATGGTCGATGTACATTTGTGTTGTGTTTCATTTCCTGTTTTTTTTTGGGGGGGGGTATTAACTTCAGAAATTATTGAGGTGTTTTTCTGAAGGTCATGGGTAATTTCATCTGTTACCTCTTTGACTTTCACTAGAGCAGTTCTGTTTTTTTCACTCGCTTTCATTGCAAGAAGCTCTGTTAGCTCGTTATTAATATTTGATTAAAAAACTATGTTTTGATAGTTTTGAGTTGTACATGTTTATTCATTTTGCTTTATAGTTCATATTTTCTTAATTGTAGATATAATATTAGTTTATGTTATCTGATTTTTAATTAATTTACAAATGGATCGGAGAATGTAGACCACTTCTGAAGCAATGAAAATGCTAAATGAATTTGCCTTCAGATGATAAATGTGATACGAAGAGCAGTGACACTAAAGATTACATTACTGGACTGAATAACCATTCAGATGCCAGTGATAGAAAATACGAACTGATAAAAGTGTGAATAATGTAAATATCATACAGCAAAGTTACCTTTTTTTTTTTTTTTTTTTTTCATTTATACTCATGTATCATCGTATAACCAAGAAGTCCTTTTGGGGGGGTGTAGAGTAGCAGGCTCGCCCGTGATGCACCCTGGGTAATGCTTAATCTCGTACAGTAATCAGAATCTAGTGTTTTTTAATCATAGGCAAAATCTTTTACTATATTTTGGGCTTCCCAGCAATGCTTGTTTCAGCGCAGTTTTCAAAGCTCTATTCAATCTGTGAGCCCGCTTCAGGCACACTCACAGATTTAAAATTGTAAGTATTGTGTTTACAAAATTTTAGCTGTATATTCCTCTAGGCATGGTTAGACTTCCTATCATTTTTCCCCCCTGAAATTCTGACATTAAAAGGTGAGCTGGAAAGGGTTAAATGTTTGATGCACCTAAACCTTAGAGAAAGTGCATATTTAAACGTTTTGCCATTCTTTGAATTCCTTTAAATTAGTATAACATGAATAGTCTGAATATTGTGAAAAAAAAACTGATAAATTGCGTAAATTGTCTGTATATTTTCAGTTATGTCATCGTTTATTTAAATATTTCTATGGTCTTGCAATGATACATTTATTTGATTTGTTTCAAAGTATGTTTGATACAATTTGAGTAACAATTTGTTGTAATGAATATAAGTTTTTATAGTATTACTTTTTAGCGTTTTTATGTAGACAATGAATTCATGAACATTTGTGTAATCTTTATTAAAATAATATTTATATCTTTGTTAATGTTTGATATGAAAAAATTCATGTGCTGTATGTCATTATAATTTACTTTTTATAGACTTCATTTGGAAATAATGACTCTTACACCTCGTTGTGAAGATGTGGAAACAGCACAAGGAGTGCCTCTGACTGTAACTGGTGTTGCCCAATGTAAAATTATGACAGAACCTGAATTTTTAGCTACAGCAGCTGAACAGTTTTTAGGAGATGAAATTCGCCAAGTGAAATCAGTTATCCTTCAAACTCTTGAGGGTCATCTACGAGCAATATTAGGTTAAAATCATTTAGTGTTAATTCCTGAATTTTTTTTAATTATGTTTCATAACAAGTCCTTTTTAGTTTTTTGCATCTGTATCACTCTCTTTCTCTCCCTCACTCTTTATAAATATGTGCGTTTGCATCAATTTTGTTTGCTTGAGACACTGATGCTCTGTTGATTCCGTTCACTGTTAATTTGATTTCTTTACATTATGTGCATGTATAGGTACTAATCTATTTAAAACTGATTATTCATTTTATTACATGCAAATATGAATTTCATAAGGTTAAATTTTAGGTTCATAATCACTACTTTGAGATTTGCTGCATTATAAGATTAAAAGAACTGTAGTGAAAGAACTTATGAAAGCGAACCGAAGCAACACAGTAGACTTTTCTTAATTCGCAAAATATTTATTCCTGGTTTATTCTGTATATTACAATCTGTAATGCTAATCATTTGTTATAAACCATTTTCTGAAGACTGCAGAACACCAATCGCAATTGCACCAATACATTGCTACATTCTAGGCAATAACAAAAGTGGCTGTGGTAATATTAATAGAACAGTGCATTCAGACACTAAATAATGTTGTTGGTTTTTGCATTCTATGATGTAATTCCATCACTGCTGTCTTTCTTTATCTCTGAGGAGATACTTTCTAGTAAAAGATTCATGTTTTGTTAAAAAATTATGCTTGAAGTGATGCTCTGAGGTATATGAATGATTTTCAATACATTGCTACTTTCTAGGCAACAACAAAAGTGGCTGTGGTAATATTAATAGAACAATGCATTCAGACACTAAATAATGTTGTTGGTTTTTGCATTCTATGATGTAATTCCATCACTGCTGCCTTTCTTTATCTCTGAGGAGATACTTTCTAGTAAAAGATTCATGTTTTGTTAAAAAAATTATGCTTGATATTTGACTTTTTGTTATTTAATAATTTTTCATTGCAGATTAGGCCTGTTGGAAGACCCAGAGTGTTTTGTATAAATGCATATTTTTCTGTCCATTCAGTTTTAAATTCTTGATGTTCATCTTGAATTTTACACTGCTTTTTCTGTATTGCCATAGTAAAAAAGTGTAACTGTCTCAGAGTGACTTAAAAAAAAAAAAAAAAAAAAAAAAAAAGACATTGTTAGTCATTCGTGTAACAGGGCTGATTGTGTTTTTTGAAATTATCTTTCATTATTTGCCAATCATGTTATATTTTAATATTAAACTTGAAATTAAAAAAAACACTTACCCTCTTAAAATAGTCAATAACATATTACCAAATTTGTCTCTTCTGTTTCTGGTATTTATAGCTGTTGTGGTATACAAAAATTTAACTCATGATCACTGCAGTAATGACTGGTCGAATCTAGTGGTCAATTGCCAATACATCAATTTCACCCAAGCAAAGCCATCAGTCCTGAGTGTTGCGTTGGTAGGAGCAGGAGCAAGATTAGCTAAAGCTAGGTTTACATGCATGCGATCTGCTGCACATTTTGATGTGTGTACATGATTATGAAAATTTGTTTGGCAATGGCAAATTGCAGCTAATTTTCCAATACTATTAAACTACTTGAGAGCCACAAGTATGATTCTACTGAGCCGCATGTGGCTCACGAACCACAGTTTGCCAACATAGATTTCAATGAGGAATATTTCAGCAAATGATCTCTGTCCACCTCAAAATTCTGCTTGCACAATGGGCACAAGGGACCATGATATATACCAGTGTGGTGCAGATGTTTAATGAGACAATCATGTCTGGTCTCCAGATAAAATGCCACAGCTGGCTATGGATCTGGGAGAGTGCGGGATATTACGAATCAAATTCATATTCTTAATAATTATAAATAAATTTCATATTCTTAATTTCTTCAAGTAATTTAACATCAGAATTATTCCACATAGCATTTTTTATTGATTTAAATCATATTGTTTGATTGCAAAATTTCAGTTTCTCTGAGAAATAATTTATGATAATTTTTAATTTTCATCCAGATTTTTGTTCACTGATACTGCTTATTTAGAATCCATGATCAGACATCTTAAAGCTTATATAAAATTAATCTAAAAAGCAACCTTAGACTGACATAGATTTTTAGCAATTCTTGTGATATTTTCACATAAAAAAACAGCTAAAATGTATGAAACATATTTAAGTACAATTGTTAAATTATCTTTAGAAATAAATAATATTACTGCTTGGGACTGGGTTAAAAATAATAGATTTTAAATTCCTAGATTTAGATGAGTAAATTGTCCACTAAAATGAATTTGTATCTCGGCAATGGACAATTACAGGATCAGTTATTTAAAAGCTATAATCTTTACACTAAATAAAGATCTAGGCATTATGCAAATATAGTAATGAAAAGCAAAAACCAAAATTAGATCAAGCTTATATTTTGCTTTTTATGTATAGGATATTTTATTAGTTATAACTGAAGATAGCTGTTATAAGCCAAGTAAATTTGCAATTATTAGTAAAAAGATTCTGCAGGTAAATCCATGTGAAATCTTTCCTATTTCATGGAAATGTACCATTTACTGAGTAATTAATTTTTTGGTAAAAAAGTGTGTATTAAAATCAGCAATAGGAAGTTCTGTTAGAAAAATTATATAATGCTTGGCATCTATTAGATGTGTTTCTTTTAATTGCTTACTTAAAAATTAACTGTTATTTATTTTATTTATAGGTACCTTGTCTGTTGAAGAGGTTTATAGAGACAGGGACCAGTTTGCTTCGCTAGTTCGAGAAGTAGCTGCACCCGATGTAGGTCGAATGGGTATTGAGATACTTAGTTTTACGATAAAAGATGTTTTTGATAAAGTTGAATATTTGGCTTCATTAGGAAAAGCAAGGGTAGCTGCTGTTAAAAGAGATGCAGATATTGGTGTAGCACAAGCTAATCGTGATGCAGGGATAAAGGTATACTTATATTTAATAGTTGGGTGCTTATAATTACAATTAGGAAATGCTATATGAAGTTGTTTGCTTTTAGGAAATGAAAAAAAAAAAAAAAAGAGGGGAAAATCAATTTTGCTGTTTTTTTTCCCCCTCATTTCCATTTAATAGCCATACAGATTTTGGTCACATATAAAAGAAATACTATAAATTGTAACTAGTAAAGATAATTATTATATTTGTATTATATAACAAGAGTAGAGCTGTAAAATATTTTTTAATTACAGTTAATAAATAATATATTTTGTTATATTTTATTTAATTAATAATATAAGGGATGCCCAAATGAAAAGTGGACAAGTTGAAGAAAAATAATGCCTTTATTGTAAATCAAAAGAAATCGCCATGGGCGTTGAAACACAGGTCCCAGTGTTGCGGCAGCAGCTCGATGCCTTTGCTGTAGAAAGATTAGGGCTGGTTCCTGAGGAAGACCTGCATGGCTTCCCTCGCTCCATCGTCCGAATGGAAACGTTTTCCCTGTAAGGCTCTCTTAATTGACCCAAAGATGTGAAAGTCCCAGGGTGACATGTCCAGACTGTAAGGGGGGTGCTGTGGGCGGGCATTGTCATGCAGAAGGATCACTCCTTGTGTGAGAAGGCCCGGCCATTTGTTTTTTATTGCTCGTCAGAGTACTGCAATATTGTGTGGAATTGATAGTGCTCCCTTGGGGCAGGAACTCGATTAAAAGTGGTCCACGACAATCGAAGAAAAATGAAACCATCACTTTCCATGCAGTTATCGTTGCTTTCGATTTCCGTGGTAGAGGAGCTGACCTGTGTTTCCATTGCATACTCGTTTTCTTGGATTTGGGTGTGTAGTGGTGGCACCAGGTCTCGTCGCCCGTAATGATTTGATCCAGAAATGCGGGATTCTCCTCATAATGGATCAAGTGCTAGAGACAGAAGCTCATTCGTCGTTTCTGATGATTAAGGATCAGGTGTTTTGGTACCCATGCCACACACCATGTTGTATCCCAAATGTTTGTGGATAATGGTGTTAACCGTTCCTTTACTCAGGTTGAATTTGTGACTGATTTCATGGGTTTTAACCCTTCGATTAGCTTGGATTATTTCATTAACAGAGGCAATGGAATCATTGGTGATCACTTTGTTTGCTTCGGCCGGTCTCGGCAGATGTGATGTCGTTTGCTGCCCTTCATGGAAACTTTTACACCTTTTGTTTACAGCCGTACGACCTAAACAGTGGTCGCCATACACTGTCACTATTCTTCGATAGATGTCCGCATTATGCTCACCTTCCACAACAAGAAACCATACTACCACGCATTGTTCTGATCTGGACACATCCATAGATAGCACGACTTTCCTTTCGCACACCGTCTGAGATGCATACATCATACCGCCCTTTATATACTTGTGCAGTGGCTGTGCTATCAATGCATTCATTCTGACGTTATCGCACGTATCCACTTTTCATTTGAGCAACCCTTATATATTTACTGATTTCAGGTAATATTATCACATTTAAGTAGCGTCATATATTTTGTGGAAAATATGATTTTATATAAATATTCCATTTGCCTTGATTTTTGAAAGACTCCATAAATTTATTCTTAAAATTACTAATAATGAACTCTGTAATAATGTAAATTTTTGTCTAAAAAATGTTGTGTAATATAACAGTGAGCAGAAGTTTGTGAAATAACCATTTTTATCAACATTTCCTTAAATTTCTTCTTGAACTCTACAGACCAAGGCTGCCTCTCCAAGTTTTCTCCATCTGACCCTCTCCAGTGCCACAGCTTCCCATAGGTTTACCCCAAATTCTTTTCCACACTGTCCAGCCATCTAGAGGGTGGTCTTCCTTTTCATTGCTTCCCCTATATTTTTGATAAGGTTATCATTTTAGTAGGAAATGCATCATATCTATAAATATGATCTAGCTATCTAATACGAGATGCCTTTACAATATTGACAATATCGGGTTCATTATATTTCCTATAAATTTTATATCTATATGATATTCTCCATCATCCATTTAGTTTCACCAATCCAGATGTCTTCCGTTGAATTTTTCTTTCAAATATCAGCAGTGGATCTTCCTCTGTCTTGTTAAGTACCCAGCATTCACTTCCATACAGAGCCACAGGTCTTATCAAAGTCTTATATAAATTTGTTGTGGTTTTTGTGCTAATTAATTTGGATTTAAGTTGGTTTCTAATCCATAAAAACATCTGTTGGCCATAGATATCATTTTTAATTTCAATTTTAATGTTATTGCAGCTTGAAATCATTGTACCCAGATAGTTAAACTGTTTAACAGTCTCAAAAGTGTAATTGTTTATCTTTAAAGGGGGGTAGATCCATGATTTACGTTCAATTTCTAGTCTATTTGTTACCTTTGTAAATTTTGTCTTATCCTCATTGATGGTTAGACCTATCTTCCCTGATGTATATTCAGGCGAGACAAATACCTTGAAAGCAGCCTGTTTAGTTCATCCAATGACATTATTGTCATCAGCAGAAGATAGTAGTTTTAGTGCTCTTTGTAAAATAGTTCCACTTGTGTTTAGTTGAGAGTCTCTCATGGCCTTTTCCAGTGCCAAGTTAAACAGCAGACAAGAAAGTGAGTCTCCCTGTTGCAGATCTTTCTTAGTCCAAAAAGGTGCTGAGAAAAAGACAAAACTTTAATTCTGCATTTCACACTCTTAAAAATCATCTTTAGAAGGCTGATCAGTTTCCTTGGGATGTTAAATTCCAGCATGGCGTCAATTAATTCCGTATTTAAACTATCATATGTAGCTTTAAAATCAATAAACAGGTAATAGGTATAAATGTTATATTCCTTTGTTCATTCTAAAATTTGTCCGATGGGATGTATTTAATCAATTGTTGTTTTCCCTTCTTGTAACCACACTGGTAGTTCTCAACAATTTTGGAAGTATATTTCTGCAGTCTCTTAGAAAGGATGGTGGAGACAATTTTATATGCTGTATTCAATAAAGTAATTCCTCTGTAATTAAACAATCCAACTTGTCTCTTTAGGACAAGTTGGATTTTTTAATTAATAATAGTACAAACAGGACAAGTTGGATTTTTTAATTAATAACAGTACAAACAGACCTTTCTTCTCACTCAGTAGACATTCATTCCTCTGTCTATATATCACAAATAATGTAATAAATTGCTTTAGTGAGTTTCATTTCATTAATATTTAATAGCTCAGCTTTGATACCTGGTCTAGCTGATTTATTAAGGCTTTGATTGCAAGTTCAATATCATAGAAGGTTAGAGGACTGTCTTCCATCTCTTCATCCTGATCTTCATAGATGGAGTTAAGTTGTATATAATAAGTGGTAGTCTCTTCTTCGTTATCTCTAACCCCAAATAGAGCCATTTAAATGTTCTTGACATCTAGATAGAACATCTTCCACATCTCTGACAATTTCTCTATCTTCTTTTTGATATGCTGTAGTTCTCGGATTAAATCTATAGTGCTATAGCTTATTAATGCTATAGTTCTTGGCTCTTACGTTATTTACTGAATTATAAAATTTTCTATCCTCCTTTCATGTCTTTAGGTTTTAGGTTATTGTCTTTAGGATACATAAGAGTTAAAACAAAGCATTCATCAAGATATGCTTTGTTTTAACTCTTATGTATCCTTTTTTCCCTCCTCTTCTTAATTCTCTATATCTTTCCTTAGCATCTCTAATGAAATGCTTCTTGATCATTAGCTAATAAGACTCATTCTTCCTTTCTGTTATCACTGAGCATTTCTCATTAAATTATTGGATATGTTTCTTCACAGAATATTCAGGTATTGGTTTCTAAGCAGTTTCAATTATGAATTATGATATGTTTAAGACTATGGCAAGCTTTCCTCGTCGGTTGATATTTTGTCACATAATACTTCCCACATATTTTGGTTTTCTTTAGTTGTGCAATATCAAGCCTGTTTCCCCCCCTCTCTTTTTGTTGAAGGACTTGTTGATCCTTAAACGTAGTTTTACAATAACCAAAAAGTGTACAATAACCATTTCCTTCTCAGAATGTCCATACATCCAAAAGACTACTTTTGTGTCTCAGTGCTCTGAGAACATGCTCAGTTTGGTTTGAATTTGGAAGAGATCTTCAGTTGACTTTGTATATATCTTTATGTTTAAATGTTGTGCTTGATATCATCATATTAGATGCAATGATAAAGTCCACAAGTCTAAAATCATTATTACTTGTCTCTTTGTGTAGAATATGGGATCCAGTAAATACCCTCATGTTTTCATTTTTTCCTATCTTTTGCACTAAAATTTCCCATAATGAGCTTTACATCATTTGAATGATATTCAGTATAAATCCTTTCAAGAATATCATAGAATTCATTCTTCTCCTCTTCATTGTTTTCTTCCTGGGTATCCTGAGTACATATAATTGGAATATTCTGTATTTTACCCTTAATGTGTATCTTGCAAATTCATTCATTCACTGGTTTAAATTCAAAAATTCTATTACTAACTAGCTTACTAACAATAAAACCAGTACCAAACTGATGTGTCTTTATATGACAGCTGTAATAGACACTGCAGTTTCATGTATCGATCATTACATGGCCAGTCCATCTCATTTCCTGGATGGCCAGAAAATCTAGCTTGCATTGGATGGGAAAATATCAATAAACTTTTTCAGTGCTCCACTTCCATATAAAGTTCATAAATTCCATATTCCAAATTTCAGATCCGATTTAATGCTAAATTGTCAGGAATGTATCATCATGGAGAATTCTTTTTGAAGTTTCTTAATCAGGAGCGTTTCTATGAAGCAGAATGATTAGCCCTGCCCCAACCCCAATCTGGAGGACCAGTTCCCTGATGTAATTCTCAGGGGCAGGGGTATCCAGCTATACTCCCAGACTCTAGGTACCCATTTTAGTCGCCTCTTATCACATTCATAGGCTACATTGGGACTAGACTTTCACACTGGGTCACCACATGGGTACTTTTAATTTAC